ATGAAAGCATCTCCGAGCATGCTCTCCTCGGGCATGCGCACTTGGAGCCGTTTTATTAAATAGGAACTTTGCAGATTTTTTTTTTTCTTGAATGGAGGCTTGTTTGCTCCAGACGATGCGCAGAGAGCTCCTGTCGCCAACAGCAACGCCGCGTAAGGCGGACTACCAGCGGCCAATAACCGCAGCCGTGACCGATGACACACCTGTCCTACAACCTCATTTTTTAGAATTCTTTTTTTTAATGACTACAGGTACTCTTATTGTTTTCAAAATCCTTCAAATATGCGTTTTCAACAGACCAGCAGCGTATTTAATTGTGATCTAAATTAAATGAGCATATTACCACCGCCTGAACTGCGCCGAGCCATTTCACCATCAAGTCAGAAGAATTTACAAGCCAAAGAAAATTAGCTTTCAAAATAAGATTGCATGACTGAAGAAAGCCTGCTACCGTGTTCGTGTTTCCGTCACCTTCCCAGCAGCTTTTTAAGCAAAAGAATGTGTAAAGCCAAGACTCAATGCTGCGCGTGCCGTATTCACTCAATGTAACTAAACTAAAATGAAAAACACCAAAGCGTTTGTTTTGAAGCCAAACAGCTCCAACTTCCGGCCTGTCTGTGCTCGACTTGCCGCAGCTCGCCGCCGCCTCCTTCTCCTCAGCCTCAGCAGACAATGAATGAAATCAGTTTTTTGAGGGTGAACGGTCCAGTTTGGGTTAAAACAACGCGGTTAGAAGCAAAGGAAACAGAGAATCCCCCAACCTTTCCTGTCAGCCTCCTCCTGCAACAACTGTTTAGCCGCCTTTTATTTCCCTCCCCGTTTGAAACAAGATGATGGAAACCATGTTCAGTTGTCAAAATATAGCGTATATAATATTTCAGTTTTGTAGGCTACGCAGTAGATGGAGCGTTTGAAGCCATGGCCGGCTGACCCCTCAGTGTACAGCCTAATGTGGCTTACCTGCTGGATGCTGAAGTTCACTTCTCTGCGGTGCTTCCACGGCTTCTCAGGATACGTCAAGCCGCGCGATGTGAACTGGGACAAGGCCGGACGTGGTTCAAAGGAATTTCAAAGTAAAACCCCGAAGGCAAATCTTATTAACGTTTAAGAACTTAAAAACTAAGTAAATGTCTACTTTTGTTAAATATTCAAAGTCTTCAAAGCCAAAAAAAAAAAAAAAAAATACACCTTTGTGTTTTACTGTAATTTTACTTTTTATAGTGTAAAACACTGTTGATTCTTCCTTGCTTCACTACTACTGCAGGTAATGTATCACCAGGACAGGGGTACCGTCTTTGAAAGTTGATGCAACAACTTTGCCAAAGAAACTGTTAAATATCAAACTTTCCGGTGCTTATATTCTTTTTTGTCTTTTTGTCTTTTTTTTAATTTATTTATTTTATTTTTTGCCAATTAATTCAGTGGACATTTTAAAATCAGACAACGGTAACTTGAGTAAATACAAAATGTACTTTCCAAATGATTTCATTTATCAATCATACCAACTTTATTTATAAAGCACTTTGAAAACAGCAGATACTGAGCAAAACGCTTTTAAAAAATCCCTTACTTTTTAAGAAAGTTTTTTCTAATGAATCTAAAAGAAATAAAATTCTAAAATGTAGAATCAAAATACAAGTAGTGTCAACAAATAAATATGACATAGACATGAACAAAATCAGAAAAGGAACAACTTATACATAGTTGAAAATCCAAGGAGAAGAGCTGGAGCCTATATGCAGATTTATAATTTGTACTAGCAAATTGTTTCATAATGCCTGATCTCCCCTGAACTTACAGCATGTCTTTGACACCTCTGGCAACTGATGGTCTATCCAAAGACTTTAAAAAATATATAGTATTCAAACCAATCTGGTCCTGTGTAAAATAGTGTGCCATCCTTGGTAGCATTTTAACTTGTAGATGAATCTTGGCACCCTACCATGTAATGATAAAGACATGGCAGACCACATAACGAGGCAAACCTCCCTCGGATCAGACAGACAGGGGACAGCCCTGGACCCCTGCTTGGGTAGTGGAGTCACATGGTTGTAGACCCTTGGCTCCTGGGTCTCATCTGGGCTAACCCCTCCACTTGCACAGAGTCTTAAATAGCAGACTGACAGGAATATAGGGCTGTCACTCAATCTGCACCACAGGGCCCTCTGACCACAGAGGCAAAGTGGATAAAGTGTTTTACCCAAGGACACAACACCAAAGTGAGTGAGATGGACAGAGCGAGTGTTTGAACTGGTAGTTCACCATTTACACGACAAACCTCTACCTCCTGAGCCACTGTTGGCCAGGAAGGTACAAGAAGCCCCCTCTGTGGGTCTACCACCTACAGTGAGGAACGTTGGGTTTTGGCATCATGTATGCTGAATACCAGGGTCTGGCCCTGCTGTGTCATTTCGTAGGGGAACAACCTAGCTTTGGGAACATCAAGCATTACTTCTGTGGTGGATAAGGACCAAGTTCTGATGTGTGAGATTAATTCATTCCAGATATGGTTGGACTGCGATGGACTAGCGACCTGCCCAGGGTGTACCCCGTCTCTCGCCCATTGGCTGCTGGAGGTGGCCAAGAGCACCCTTGGTATCCCCACTAGAATTCACTTCTACACAGAGCATGGGTTCATGAACACAACTCCTGGAGATTGACTGGACTTCCTCCTACCCCACAGAGAGGCATCAGGCAGATATTGGGGCAGTCCCCAGCCCCCAACTGAGTGGCTTTGGGGCTGACCTCTTTGGGACTTTAAGGGACTTCTGGTTTGGTAAAGTCCTAACCGTTGCATGTTTACAAAAATTATTTATTAAAAGAGATAGCATTTATAAATTGAAAGGATCAGAGATTAAATAAATAAATAAATAAATAAATGAATAAATAAACTGCGACAGACTGGCGACCTGTCCAGGATGTCCCCCGCCTCTCGCCCGGAACGTTAGCTGGAGATGGGCACCAGCACCCCTCCCGACCCCACTGAGGGACAAGGGTGTTCAGAAAATGGATGGATGGATGGATAAATAAATAAATAAATAAAAATCCAAAATCAGAACTAAACAAACTGAATGTTGTATTTCAGTTATACAGCTAGATATATTAAACACAACATGCAGAATATAATAAGTCATGTAACTTCATTATTTTGAAGTTGAAGAACTTGGGGCTTTGTAGTGTTTTCCGTATAATATTCCAACAGCTCTTATTTTATTTATTTATTTTTTTTGCAAAATAAGAAGATCATTTGTATGATTTACAGGCATTTCCCCAAACTTCTACACAACAGGTCAAATAGAGAACGACCAGTGAATTGCATAATAACAACAATCCTTCATCATTCACTTTACATAACAATGCGATTTTCCTTGATATGTTTGTCTTTAAATTGCAGGTGAGTGGTTTCCAGTTTCCATTCGCTGTAATCCTCAGATCTGTTTGAAGTGATTTCTCCTCTCCGGTGGTTTTGAATTCATTCCTTCACGAGGGACTGACAAGTTTGACTTATGATTCCAGAGAATTGGAGCCCAGATTCAAGTAGAGAAACTTTAATAATAATTACATTAACAATAAATTATTAGTAACTGCATAGGCCAATTTTGATTCCCAACACTGTCTATCCACTCTTTATTCCACCATGTATGTGCTTGTGTACCTGTGGTAGACGTGCCAGCTGTCTACTTCGTCCTCCTGGGAGCTTAGCTCAGTGTTTACCTGTTCTGTACCTGAAGACTCCACCGTGTCTCCTCCTGAAGTCCTTTCCTCACTATCATGCACTATAGAGGATGCACTGGGAATTATTACAACATTTATACATTTTTCTTCTCTCCCCCCCTACACTGTCCCACTTTGCTGTGGAGTCCAATAAGCCTGGAACCCCCCAGCCCAGCTGTGAGCAGCAGGCAAACCTCATGTTGTTACATAAGCCAGATGAGGCTCTGATCAGTTGCATAAGCCAGTTATAGAATCAGGCTCCGCTGGGGGAGACTCTCTTCTGCCTTTTTGTGATTTCATATGTTCATCTCTTTCCCAAGAGGATCATCTGTCGACCGCGCCCGCCCGGCATCCTGGAGGACTCCGAACACCAGGCAACCCAGGTGGAGAAAATACACGCTGAAGCAGCCAAGTGGGGGATGCACTTCTTTAAAATAGCTGGCCCCAGTGGTATTCATTAGACTGCTGTGTGGGGCTCATTTTTAAACTTGTTGTCACTGGGCTAGGTGGGAAGAGAACAAAATGTTGTCACAGTGTACGAAAAAAGGGCGATGGGCTGGAGAAGATAAAGCACTATACAAGTACAGGCCTTTCATATTAACATTTTATACGTGATTGCATTAATATTCACCCCATTGCAGTCAGTATTTAGTAGACGCACCTTTAGCTGTTATTCCACTCACCAATTGTGGGAAGCATCTGCATAGTAGATCCAGCAGCCTTGGGCAGTCTGACACCATAACCAATGCTAACGCTAGTTAGGATGAAAACCAATTACAGCAGATAAGCAGTTTTCCTGTAAAGGCAAGTTGCTTATCTGCCGTTAGCACAAGCGTGTGCACAAGCTTGATTGACAGCACTAAGACCCTCCTCCTAGTTGTGATTGGTGGTTTCTGACTGGACATGGTGGATTTCTGCAGATAGCAGTAGGACCACATGGAGGAGGTGGAAGATCTGGATTTTTTTCACAAATTATGTCTCATGTTCTACCGTCGATATCTTCAGTTTCAACAAATATGAAAATAAAAAACATGTTTATGTTACACATCCTCTTTAGAGAGAGTAAACATGTACACAACTATATATTTGCATTTGCAATTAATTTGTAGAAATCAGTTTTGTGAATTTTTTGTTGATCATGATTGATTTGTAAAAATCAAAGAGAATAAAACGTCCAAGGGATTGAATACTTAAGCTCTGTAAATTCATTTAATTTACAGCTGCTGAAAATAAAACGAGCCAGTTTGATTCAAACAATGAAGATTGAAACCAAGGGGACAGCTGAGGCGTTTGTTTGAAAATACTTTAATAAAAGTTATAAAAAGAAAGACAGTTAACCAGACTCAAATTTAACCAGTGGGAATAATACACCCTGATATTCATTTGTGCTAATACATGAATTAATATTTTTATTAAACTGTACTAAGAAAATATCTTTGGCAGATTTAATAAAAAAAAAGCACCTAGTGTGCAGAGATTAAATTTTTTTTTTTTTTTTTAATTCAGAAATCTAAACACAAGAGAATGAAAAACAGGCAGAGGAAGTCAAAGATTGTCCCTCTGGATGACAGAAGACATTGGAGCATCAGTGCGAATCTGCAGAGCCTTAGAAAGATATTCACAAGCAGCATGACTAAACCTGGAGGAAATATGCTTGAGGAAGCAGCTAAAGCTAATCTTGTGATTGGACGTTGTTTATCGGTGTTTCACCAGGAGAATCATGTGATCAATGAAGAAAGTGCAGCAGGACTTCTAGGAATCCCAACTAGCCTGACAGGGTGGCTTTGTGAGGAACCAGGGTTAAAAACAGAAAGATGAGGAAATCTAAGCCAGCACATTAAATCAAAAGGACAACACCGCCACCTGGAGGACAGCATATGATCTTCACTCTGCTGTAACATAGTAATTGAACATTACAAAGGCAGAAACCAACAATAAGGTACTTCTGTTGTGACTTGGGACAAAAAACTCAGCAGACGTGTTTAGAAACATTATTATTTATCAAAACACACTAATTAGAGCAAGGGTGTCCAAAGTGTGGCCCGGGGGTCCATTTGTGGCCCTTGAAATTATTTTATTTGGCCCCTGACTACAAGAGTGGTAAAAAATTTGAAAAACATAATAGAAAACAGCTGACTCAAAATTTGAAAATGGTTTTTCTTTTAATAAAGCAACAGTTTACGTTTAATATTTATAATAATACACAGACTTGATACAAATGTTTTGTTGAGTAGGTAAAGCTGAAAATCACCAACGCATTTTTGCATTTTTAATTTTACAAATTTTGTGGAATGCCAGTTTTGGCCCCCAGGGCAAAAAAAAGTCTGGACCCCAGAGAACCAGAGGAATCTGTCCTGATTTCTTCAGCATGTAATGCTCTCAGTAACTATATCTAACAGGGAAGGACCTGAGCGGAAAACTGGAATGTGATTAAAGCTCAAACTTCTCCATTCGACATCCCATAACTACACACACACACACAGTAAAGTCAGTATATTAGCGTTGGACTGGAGAGCGAGGAGGAAACAGCAGTATGTGCAGCGCGCCGAGACTTCTAGCTGAAGTCTCGGTCAGGAAGCACCACAGGAGCCACCAGGGTCCACAGGTAGAGAGCCAACCCGATCCAGCTGGAGCTGATCTTCACCCACACGGCCGGCATGGCCGTCTGCATGGTCATGTTGTCAGTGCCGGGTCTGGGGATTCACAGGACAATTAGCTCAGCAGCAGGGAGTTAAGGAGTCTGGGTGGGGGATGGGGTACTTACTGGTACCAGTTGGTGAGGGTCATCATGATGTAGAGAGAGGCCAGGAAGAGGCTGAAGTGGAAGAAGGAGTAGCTGTAGGTCACTCCTTCCTCTTCGTTGTCCACGGCCCGGTGGACTCCGTCCTCCCCGGCTGAGACGTCCTGGTCGGCGGCGGTCAGACCCTGGCCCTCCTCCGTCTGCATCAGCTTGTTCACCTGGGAGTTGTTGGAGGAGCGGATGCTGCGGGGAGACAGAAGTTCAGCCGGTCCAACAGTAGCATACTGCAGAGCGGGGCGAGGAGCCCTGGAACCGTCTGAGACTCTGCAGCCGACTCACCCAGAACGAGAGTGCTTAAAGGCTCACAGAACCCTTGCAGGCGTTTGGAGTTAATTAGCCAGTTAGGGTATGACGGCAATTTTTGTAAATTACCTTTTTCACAGTATTCCAGTTTTCTAAGACACTAAATTTAGAGTTTTCATTATCTGTAAACCATAAACACCAAAATTACAAGAAACAAAGGCAATAACAATAGAGTACCTGGCATAGAGTGTGCAGAACAAGAAGATGAGGAGTCCCACAATGCTCTGTGCGTCCCACCACTGCACGTTGCCTGGAGGAGGTGTGGGAGAGGGGCCCACAGGTGACACAGTCGGCTTGGACTGGACCAAACTCAACAGGCTGGGGTTACATTGCTTGTCTGAGGTGAGGAGAATATGTATATATGATTACCGACTGTTTTTCCTCTTTATGTGAAACAAAGCAGGATGATGTCTGCCTGGACTTACTGGGGTTGTTGGTCATGGCTGACCAGGTGAGGTACATGGTGTAGAGGGAGATGATAGAAGCCTGGAGCAGGCCTGAGGTGGGCTGAGCCTCCTGTGAGCAAACGGAGCAGAGAGGCGCTTTAACAGAGCCAAGCCCACTGGAGACGCTCCAATCAGTCTCCCTAAAATGTTGCGATCGCAACTACTAACACAAATTCAGTCATCATTCAAATATTTTGCAATTTTCCCCAGTCGCTGACACTTTACCGCAGCTCTGGCCAATCGCCTGTTTTCTGTATTTCCTTATTCTTTTTCTGTGGACTTGCATCCATAAAAATGTATTAGCGCCACCTAACAGTTCCACATGCTATGACTTCTTAAATCCACAGAAAAGACACCTAATACTTGCGTCCACATATACTGGATCGCCAGTCCAATACGCTCTACATAGAAACAATGCGTGATACTTGAGTTGCCATTTGGTCCAGCAGATGTTTCCTTTCATCTGAGTCTTTACAACAGTTTAAGACAACATGCTTCATAGTTTTGATACTCTGACAGAAGTCACAACACCCAATATAAGAGGAAAAAAGAAAGAAGGAGAAAAAATAAGAAAGAATTATCCTAACCCACATTTATTAAACAATTCCATTTTTGCTGTGTCACCACTTGGTTATGTTCTGTGTCTCAAGTCTCTCTATTTTATTTTTTTCTTCTTTCACATGCCTTTGTTGTTCTTTTTTTTGGATATTATCTTTGTTGCGCTTTTTGCTTAATATACGTTATAGATTAATACCTCTGTTTGCTACTCTGTAATGTTTGTTTTGTGAATAACAGAATATAAAAAAGCAAACAAAAAAAATCCACTGGCATGGAGAGAATGCTCTAGAAAAAAGGGGTGCTCTTTCAAGAAGATACATTAGAATGTTATTAGTACTTTAAATTCTAACTGTGCTAAAACCCCGTCTATCCAGTGGAATGAGTACTTGTTTTTATTCAATATTAAGAAATGACTGGCTTAAAACAAGCTTCTACATTTTGCGAAAAAGTTTGTCTCATTTCAAGTGTACCAAGAAACTTGCGCTAGAAACCAGACAAAAAAATACTCGATCAGATTCAGTGTTTTTGCAGTGCAACGTTACCTGAACTTTGGGCAGAATGGCCACGATGGACACAGCGATGCAGAAGAGGAGGTTGAGGCTGATGAAGACCTTGTGCTCAGTGCAGTCGGCAGGTTGGGTGTAAAACACGTAGAAGAGGACGATGGCGGTAAAGGCCAGGGCGTAATAGACGAAGGTGAAAGACAGCAGAGCTGGAGAGGAAACGACAGTCACAAAGTCAGAGAGCGGCTCCGCTGGCCGGCCCTACGACACGTCGACACGGGAGAGCTTTCTACCTGCAAACCAGCACTTTGTGTTTCCGTTCTCGGCCTTCTCCAGCCACGACTGGTTCCAGGAATGAGCAAAGTCGACCAGCAGGATGAGCTGGATGATGATGAAGATGAAGGAGCCCACCACGCCGAAGTAGTACCACACTGACAACACAGAGGAGGCAGCTAAGTGACACTTCTGACCTCACGCAGATGCTTGTTTGCTGTGTACAACATACCGGTGTTAAAGGTGCCATCGGGGATGTAGAACGCTCCCACGGCCAGACCGACCAAGGCCAGAAACTTGAAGAACCAGAACCTAGAAAGGACCAAAGGCCACCGTTAGGCCTGCCACAATGACACATTCTGCAGGATAAAATATGCTTAGCGCAATCAAAAATGATTGCGATAAACGGGAATATTGCCATTTTGAGACTACCATATGATAAAAAATGATAATACAAGTTAACCTTCTCAAACACTGGTAAAGTGTTTGAGAACACTATCAGTGTGGAGAACCCTCCATTTTAAATATACAAAATAAAAACCACACAACAACCAAAAACAATAAATACACCCAAAATAAAAACCACACATAAACTATGAATAAAATGGTTTATGATGTCTGGATCAATAAAATCAGCCTATTAATCATCAGAATGGAAGCTCATTTCAATTTATTACACAAATAATTGATTATTGCGACAGACTTGGTTACAGTCTTGATTCTCACATTTCATTTGCTCCAACTCTTTACATCTGTTTTTTTCTGCAGCACATACATTTTTAATTTTGTCTTCAACTTTATGAAGTTATTGAGAACTGGTTTGAAGTTCAGCAGACATTTGTACTCAGCAACTTTTACTGACACCTTTAAAAAAATCTGATGGAACAAAGCCTTCCCATGTCACTAATCAAATATCTGCTGTGTGCAATTTCGTCTCAGCTTCAGAGGTTTGGAAGAAAATATCAGAGAACAAACAGTTTCCTGAAGACAGCAAACAGGTCAAGGGTCAAGTTGTGGAGAAGCACAAAACAAGATTTAGATGATACTTTCAGAATATGTAGGCACAAAAAATAATGGTTCATCCATCACATATACACCAATGTCAGTTTGAGGTTGCAACAAAACAAAATGTCATCACCTTTGTAAAACAATGGCCTAACTAATTTTTTTACCAAAAGAGATTGGGGCAAAAAAGAAAAAAAGAAAGAAAGAAAAAAAATCTGCACTTTTTTTTCTCAGATGAAATTGGAAAAAAGAACACTTTTGGTAAAAAATGAATTAGAGCATTATTTTTAGAAAGGTGAGGATGTGGAAAAAAGCCAGTTTACAAAAAATTTGCAATGCACACATTTGGCCACCAGAGGTCAGTGTGGCGCCTCGGTACGGTACCAACCCGTTTTGGATGCTCGCTCGGGGATCCTTGCTACTGCGCACTCGGATCATGATGATGGAGAACAGGAAGAAGAAGCAGGCCATGGCGAAGCACATG